CGTAAACTGACCAAACTTTTATTGACTGTAACTGTAATCTTTTATCTTTGTTGGCTGCCTTTATTTGTAATTCTATCGGACCAAGTAACCGAAGGTGTAAAAAAAGTCTGCATATTGTTTCCTCTTTTTAGTACAACGATAAACCCGATCATCTATAGTCTTCATTCGAAGCCATTTCGCCAAGGAATCAAGTCTCTTTTCGCTTGTTGCTGTAGAAAGAGAAGAGTGTGCGTGGAAAAAAGTACTCGAAATGAAGTTAGGTCGAATGGATGTTGCTGTTACCGAAGTTGGACAGTTTTTCGGGGAAATGGAAACGGCCTTGAAAATACAGATAAAACTAACGAAACAATGAATGCATGAAAAAAAGGGAAACGCAGCTCGCCTATACTGTATGTCGTGTTGTACGGCCTGGTATGAGAAACTGAAGTAATGCGTTTGAAGATGCACTCATACCGCCTTTCATTTCTGATTACTTCGACTCTATCCCTTCCGAGACGTTTTCGACGTGACACTGAACAGTACTGGAGAAAAACATACTGCGCATGTCCAGAAAACTTGCAGGTGTTGTGCCTAGTAAAACTTGACTATTGTTATTTCAAAAAATGTTATATATCCATCGCAGTGACGCTATACTTACTTTGTATAATCCTAAGTAATTAAAAAAAATTTAGATGACAATTTGAAAGGCATTTTAAAATTAAAAACCGAAAAGTAATTGCAATAGCTGGAAAAAGCAAGTTAAAATAAATATAACTGTGAAGTTTGAAAGAAATAAGTTTAAAAACTCACAAACATCATTCTTGAAAAGTATGAATTGTGTAAGAAAACCTTTGCTGGGAGACAAGAGATGTATCCAACGAATGTTCTACTACAGTTTTAAAAAATTTTAACATGCTATTCCAAGCTATTGTGATTATTTTTCTTTCCATTGCTTTGGAATCGCATGAAAAAAAGTTCAGTTTTTTTGCATAAAAGCTCATTCTTTTGCATGACGTCTGAACTCGTTGACATCAGCTTTAACTGTCTGTCCTCTTATTGAAGATAAAAAAATAATGAATCAGCATAGGAGAAATTTGTAAGTTATTGTAAAAATATGGATAGGCTTGTAAGTTTGAACACCATTATGATTCTGCAATTTCGAAATACTAGAAAACATAAAAATAAGTGTAGGCTTTTATGACAAACCTATTTCAATTTACTACATTACTTCATAAAAGAAGATTGCAGACTGCTATGATGTGATTTACATTGACATATTTAACTCTAACCAATCTTTACAAACTCTTTTTCACAGGAAAATATTCAAAATCCATAATTATATATACAGTCAATGCCATTAACATTGTCCAGAAAAAAGACATTTACACATTTAGACATTTAGACTAAAGTGAGCTTGAACTTTAAATGTAAAATTCAACTCGTGAATCAAAAATCCAGAATGCCCCAACCATTTCGTGAGGATTTAAGATGGAGAATGGTACTTCAGCATTTGTTTTATGCCAAAACCTTCGAGGAAACACGATATTTCTTTTAGTCTAAATGTCTAAATGTGTAAATGTCTTTTTTGGGTGGACACATTAATGACATTGACTGTATATTAATAATATTATAAATAATTTTTTTCAACCAGCTTTAGTGCTTAAGGTATTGGATGGTATACATCTAATTGAAAAAATGTTGGTGGGTTCAAAAAAGGTTATATCATCAAAGCTAAGACCAAATGGGAGCATGGGAAGACAAACAATTTATTATGTTAATTTCATGGTTATTGCAGTTTTCCCTTCCTGTGCACATTTTATGCATCATGGCTTTGGCATGTTGTTAATCTACGTCGACCGACTTTGCTCTACTGTGCATTTTTACATGTCTATATGCAAATATAATACACATTTCGCAGTACCCAAAATCCTTTTCAATTAGGTGTATACTCCTGTATGCATCCTATGTCTACATACAAACTAGAGCCCATTTACAATTATCTGATAGCCAGCCTTGTTTTTCACCTTTAACATATTATTTTATCTCGCATGAAAGAAATGAAATTATTAGAATGAATTTTAATAACTTTTTTGTTTTCCATTACCATCCAGGCTCCCAAACAGGTTTAGGAAACTCTTTTCTCTTTCTTGATCGCCAAGATGCACTTGAGGCTCTTGAGACCCTAGAACTAGCAACACTTGCAGAGTCAGAGCTCATAAGACTTGATGCACTGCCTGCATGTGTCATTCGTGATCTTCTTGATATTGTGCTTCCTGCACTGGATGGCCGAGCTCTTGATGTCATGTAATTTTTTTGGGCATCAGCTTCTTTGGATAAATATTCTTTGCTTAAGGATTTAGTTGGTTTTACTGACTGAAGTCTTTGAAGGAATTTCTAGAACAAAGAAAGGTATAGTTTATTAGGGAGTCTCCAATGTACTGGTATTTATGTCAGACATAATATCAGAAGTACAGGAGATAAACTGTCATAAGAGTAAGTGCAGCAGATGCAGATACTTTGGCTTGTATACATTCAATAAACAGGGGAAAGGAAAACAGGAACAGATTATACTTGAAATGTTTGTCTCTGATATAAAATTTTTGAAATATTTTTACAGACATTTTGATCCATAACCATGGATTTTCTTCAGTGACACTAGAAAGTTTACCTTTGACAAATAAGCTTTTGTGTAACAATTTTTTATTTTTTATTTTGTCTTTGATTTTGGCAAACACAGCACACTTGACATTCTTATGTAAAGCTAGGTGAGTGAGTGAGTGAGTGAGTGAGACATTTGCATATTTTAGACTTCCACAATAACTCGCCACTACCCTTCATGTATGCACAAGTTAAAACAGATGCAAATAATTGTTAATAGGGTGCATTTTCTGCAGACTCTCTAATCAAAGTTCTAGATCCGCCCATGACAATATCCCAACATATTCCATTTTTCGGACCTCACCTATTATCATCATAGCCCTTCACATATCTGTACCATGAGTTTTGTCAAATTGTAGTCATTTTCCCTACTCAAAAATTTCCTATTACATGTAAGACTTATCTGTATGGTATGCTAAAGCACCAAACTTTCCAACATTTTTGGTCTCCTCTGAGGTAGCCAATTAAGATCTAATGCATCATCCTAAATCTTTAAACCTATAAAATGATGTGCTTTCGATGAACAATGCGCTAATTATCACTATCAAAATGTTAAAGAAAGATTAGATCAATATTTAATCAATTATAGGCATACTATAAAACGCTTCATTCTGGCTCGAGTGCTTGAAAGGTAAATATTTAATTCCGCCCAAGTAGCCATAGTTTCTATCATGGAGTGTTTATGCATAAAACACTGTACTTTTAATAAAGATCCTATCAAGTTAAATTAAATAAAATTTTGGGAAAATATTAAGGATGGAAGTGTAGATGTCTATGAATAATAATTTTACAAATCTACATCTTCAGCTGTTTCTAGTTTCCTTCTAGTAATTAAGTACGAGACTTACTTGGTTATCTTCATCAACTCGCTTTTGAAATCGCGTTCTGTTAACTTCAGCAGCAGTCTGTACTCGCATTGGTTCTACAAAAGTTTTCTTTGATGAAGCAACTGCCGATTTGGGTCGTACCCTTGAACTCGTTATCTTTTGCAAAAGTCTTTGGTTTTCTCTATCAATATCCATCACTTTGTTATTGCTGAAAGACAGGTTTTTGCGTTCAGGGGGAGCTGCTCTCCGTGGGCCACTATATCGATAGTTACTTCTAGGCCTTGATCTCGAAGATGAAGCCAAAGAGTGTCTGTCAAATTCAACCGTCCCTTCCTTAAAGCTTGTCGTTTCGTGTTGTGTCGAAGTTGACGGTTTTTCTCGGTCTCCATAATTTTCCTTCTCTTTGTCGCGGTCCAGCTTTTCGCTTATATCTAAAACTGCTTTCAAGAGTAAATTCAAGTCTATTTGGTCAGAGTCCGGTTTTAGAAAATGCTCTCTCTTCAAGCCATCAACATGATTTCTTTCATCGAAATCTTCCCCTGCGCATTCCCGTCCCTTGTACTCCGCCATCTTGTTAACTATGAGCCGCGCAATATTTCATCCTCTCGGACATCGTCTGCAGTTGCTATGGGAACACTGAACACTGAAAACATGACATCATTCAAATTCACAACGACTTCCGGTCACAAATTACAGCATTGTAAACTATCATTTTCTTCAACTTTCCTATTTATCACAGGATAATTTTGCAGTTATTATTACATCAACGTATGTAATAGATCAATTTTGAGTCGTTTATGGTTTACTCCGAGTCGATCCGGAAATACGTTATCGTAGATTTAAATGCTAACGTCAGCACTTAACCGGAAATGTAATGTAGGCAATCCGAGGTAGCCTGAGGCGAGAAAATCTGGAGCGTGGTCCGCGGTGTCCTGCAGGTATTGGTCAGCGGTATTTGATAGTACAGTTCTTGAGTGCAAGAATTCGTCGTGGCATGGAGGGAAACTTGAAAGAAAATGGATGGTAATTCTCATCTTTATCCCGTTTAAACAATCACCAAAAACATCTTGACACCTAGTGCTTTTATCCTAGATGGGGAAGGTCGAGTCGATTTTAATCCTCTAAGCTTCTTCTACCAGTTCTTACCAAATTTAAAAATTGTATCCCGCGTGGCTCGTCAGTGTGTAGCTTTTGTTTTGCGCAGAATTTATTCGATTTATTAGATATTTTGATTAATTTTATTTTGCCACGGAGAAGTTGGTGTCGTTATAAGTCTTCTGTTCTTTTACCTCAAAGGTTTCTCTCAAGTGAAGGCATTGCCGAATGCAAGAAAGCGTGCACGAAGGAAAATCCCACGACATCAGAATGTCTCAAGGCTGCTACGAATGTAAGTGACGACAACGTTGTATATCGCAAAATAACAAAATCTGCAGATCGAACAGGACAGGGTTTTTAGACCAATATAATTAGGAAATCCTCAGCTTTGTGGTGCTTCAATTCTAGCCCAAGAGAAGGGATTGCAAGTTGGCTATTCATAGACAGGAGGCGTAGGATCGATGCGAGTTTACTTGTCATTCAAAGACCTTCTTTCCCATTCATTAAATATGACCATGTTAAAGTTTAATAAGTCTGGCTTCTCGTGAATTACCCTCCGACGAAGTAAGTTCGACCTCTAGAGCGTTCTAATTTCTTTTGTTAATCTACCAATTTGGTTATTTCCTTTATCGGTGCTCTACAAGACTGTGAAGGAATTCCGGATGTTAGTGCCAAGGGCCTAGTTTTACCTTGATAAATAGTTAAAGTGCTAACAGGTTTTTTTCCTCCCGTTCGAGAGCTGCGTTGTCTTTCTTGCGGCACCTGAAATATCGGCGTTCCCAATCAGCGTTTTTGAATAACTAAAATCAAAATAAACCCGGCAAAACCAAAGAACTGAATTGTTTGATTTCACAGATCCCATCTCTACGACCATTCTTTCCTTGATTGTTTTAAATGACACGCTGCCATATAAATCGTGACTCTTGTCAAATTATTTATTACCGTTTGTACAATTGTACATCTTACAACGACTTCTTTGTGTTTGCCTCTCTTGGTATGAAAAATTACTGTGCTAACCTAAGTGCTTTATTTATAGCAGTACTCTCAAATATGTTTAAATTTGCTTCCACCTTCTTTCCATCAAAGGAAATCCTTCAAGATTATTTCTGCCCTTCCCTCACAACCCGTAATCTTCAGGTCGTGTGAATACTGTTTGTCATGTACTGACATTGTCATTTAGACTGAACAACATTTCCACTAGGAGATTTTCCATTTTATTTTGACATTTATATGACAGAATATGTTGTATGTTCTACAATATCTTGTGGTCTCAGGGGAGCCAATTATGTCACTGGATTCATGCAAATATTGTGAAATTTTCAAGATAAGGGCTGGGTTATAATTTAGTTTTTGTAAACACTTATCTGTTGATTTGTAGAACCAAAGCTTTTGTAAATAGTAAAAACTGAGCAACTCTTAATAAGCACTGTTCTTGAGCTCTATCTATCTGTAAGTGATTTTAACATTTTTATAAATACATGCAGATTTAATTTGATAATGCCTTAAACAAAAGAACACAACAATGAATTATGAGTGTAAACTAACAAAACAGAGTTATATAATTAAATACAGTTTGAAATTGAGTGCTTACTTATTTTACCTCAAAATTACTCAAAGTACTTATATCAGTATATAGATCTTTTAGGTTTTGGTTACCTTTAAGGGAAGATTAAAGGAATTAAAACTAATCAAGTCTATTTTGTAATTTTTATTCAAAATGAATATAGTTATATGTAATTGGAAATTCCTCAACTTTCTGCTTATTTATTTGTATTTGGACTCAAGTTGATTTTTCCTTTTTGGTAATAAGTCAATAAGATACGTTTTTGATATGTCAAAACAATGAAAAAATCGTTATTGGCAAGTCAAATTATATTTTATGCTTGAGAAATTGAAATCTCCTTATCTTTTTATAGCTATATCAATATTTACTAGAAGGAAGTTAAATATGAATTGGCTAATTTTGCATGCATTCTAAGTTATAATATGTGCAATGTATACATATTGAAAAGTAGTCAATAAAACTGGAATATACCACATTCGCAAGAAACTGGTATTGGTTAATAATGCAGCAAAACTTTGATATTGATTTCTTTATATACCTATAGAAAGATATGATTTATGTTTTCTGTTCTCAAGGAAATTGAAAATCTAGTGTCCAATGATTTTGTGCTTGACCAAAAGTATTTACGTGAAGTTAGTATTGTAAGTGGCTGTGGCATTATTAGTCATTAGATTTAAAATCTCTTATCTTGTTGTGTAGTCTGGTCAAACTCTTGACCTAGTCATTTCAGTAACCTTAAACTTACAAATCATGAAATTTTTTTTACACGGGCTTGATTTTATTTAAAATTATTTTAAAACTTTTCTCTTTTGCTCACACAGTTGGACTTAAAATTATATGGAACTAAATTTCTACCAGAAGATTTACACAAGGGAAAAATAGAATTTGTAAGTAACTACAAAAACTGTATAAAATTCCTTGGTAAGATTTCTTGAAATGTTTTAGTATTTTTGATTTGAAGATAAATTTATTGATAACAGTGGCTGAACATACATTTTGTCTGGTAACAAGAGAGCCAGAAATATGTCTAAATACAGAATCATTTTAAAAGGTGTCAAAGGGTGATAAGGATTAGCTGTTGTTCTTATATCACTGATATTTTTTTCTAGATTAAAGGTCCTGGGGTCCTACAGATTCAGAAACTACGAAATGTTTCTGCTCCTAAATCGAATGAAGAATCTACTCATGCTCCAAGATTACTGAAATTCTATCTTACGGATGGTTCTATGAACTGTCAAGGAATTGAATTTTCTACTATCTCTGATATCAGGTACTTGGAAATTTCTTTTTTTACATGTATTTCATTGTCAACTGTTATTAATAATTTTGTTATACTATGCATCATTATGGGTGCGAATAAGAGCCATGTCACCAGCATCTATTTCTTGTGCATTTTGTGTTGCAGTATAAAGAGTTCAAGTTGCGAAAGCTTTTTTTATGTTTGACATTATTAGGCCCTGGCTAATTGAGGAAACATGTTTCCCTAAATGTTTCCTAAGGTGGCAAAACTGTCAGGAAACATTGGGAAACATGTTTACTCAAATTTGGTTAGCGCATGCGCACTTTCAAGATAGAGCTAGCATTGCTAAGTAACGAACTTTTAGAATGTTGACTTTCGTGGCTAAACTAGGAAACATTGGGAAACATTGTTTCCTTGCGTCTTGGAAACATGAAATGTTTCTGCTGCACAGCAAAAACATTTTTTGCATCTTGGAAGCAAAATTTGTTGCACGCAGCAACTGGGAAACATGTTTCCTTGCTTAGCCAGGGCCTTACATTCTATTTGCTAGCTTGCACTTTCACTATCAGCCCTTTGTTACAATTTAGGTTTTAATGTATGTCAATCAAAGTGTTTCCAAGGTATTCCAAAGAGATGTGCATTGATTTTACTGTACTTGTTCCGAAAAACAGAAATGCTTTGATTGATGTCCAATCCACCGGAAACTAATTTTTCACAACAGCAAAATTTTACAATATTCTTACACAAAGTTATGCCTTTTTCAGCTTGAGCATCATAGTTTCCCATTTCAGACCATATTTCATTCTCTTGAGAGTAAGATTCTTTGTTTAAGTTGTTTCCATATTCATGTGTCTTATTGTGCATTCGTTAAACAAAGAAATGATACTCTAGGGAATGACATGTGGTCCGAAATAGGAAAGCATTATCCCCAAGCCAAAAATGGCTATTGCTAGCATTGGTTGTTTCCTTGCTGGCTTACTTGTGCTCGTGACTTTTCTCTTGTCCTTCGATAATTCAGAATAATTTCCATCACCCTATTTTTCATACTAATGCCTTGTTTTCCTAACAGTTTGTCTACCCCTCCTGGTACCAAGATTTGTCTCATAGGAAATGTTCCTGTAGAAAATGGAGTGTTACTACTCGACAACAACAACATCAAAGTCCTTGGAGGGGAGGTTGAAAGTCTTGTCAGCAAATGGAAACTTAATAAGGTAAATTACTGTAAATAAGCTTATTTTCTTTATGTGAGTGTATAACTGACCTTATTCAATAAGACTAGCATGAAAATGAGACCAGTTTTCCAAGAGTATGAAAAACAGTATGGGGGGGGGGGGGTCATATGGAGGGGTGATCTTTGCTTCTTCTTAATTCAAATATACACTGATTTTTATATTTGACATATGTTATTTTTCAGTCCTTGGCCAAGCATTCTCGTACTACAGCCAATGGTGAAGATGGACCACCCCCTTTTGTGCCCTTCAACCAAGCCAAACCTCAAGAATCTAAAGGGAACAGTAAAGGTACGTATGTACTGGTAAAAGAGTACTAAAGATGATCATCATTATGTTGGTGGTGGTGATAGAAAATAATGCTGCTGAGGATGATGATCATGATTATGAAAGTAATGATGAGGATGAAGGTGATGATAATGATGATGCCGCTAATAATAATTTATTATTATGATGAATATGCTGATGATGTTAAAAAATGAAGATGCTGATGATGAAGATGCGACTGCTGATGAACATGTTCTGCTGTTGATGATGCCAATTTTAAGGGTGATGCCAATGATGATGCTGATTTTGATGTGATGCTAAAGATTTGCATGATGATGATGTCTCTCCATATAGCTTTTAAAACATTTTCTTATAAACCTCTTTAGCTTAGGAATAATGTTATTCCGTAGAGTATTATTTCTTTGTTTAACTGTTTCACGTGGATACAACTGAATTAAAGAATATTATGCTTGAGAATGACAAATGGTCTAGATTGGGAAAATATTATGCCCGCAGTAAAGATGTCTGTGTAAAAAAAGTAAATTATTCTCTTGGGATGTGATTCTTACCTTCTCAAGCATTTTTAGTATACATCTAGATAGTTAACTATGGAAAATCATAAAAAAATGTAAACAAGAGAGTGACATGTGGTTTGAAATGGTAAAATTTACTCCCAAGTTGAATGGGTCTGTGTGTTTTCTCCAGGTACTTCTGTTTCGAATGGTCATGGAATGGAAAACGAGTTGAATATAAAACAACCAGACAGAAACAAACCTGAAACCCAACACGATATGTACAACAATAACAAAAGAGGAAAAGACAGAAACCAGGAAAAAGATGGTGACAGACACACAGATACAGGCAGCAGAAGAGATGACAGGGGAGATCAGAGGGGAAGACGAGGAGACTCATGGGGTGGGGGTCCAAGGGGGGAATCATTCAGAGGAGACAGACGGTACAATCAAGATAAATCATATGGCAAGTTCTCATCAGACAGTCGATCAAGTCAGAAAGACAACCGGGGTAATAGGGAATACAAGGGGGGGAACAGAAACTATGAAAACAGCCAATCAGGGGACTCACGAATTGGAGATAGAAATAATCCTAGAAGAACTGATCATAACAGAACAGACAAGGCTGAAAAACCATCCCAAAGTGGTCGGACAGTTGACAATACAGCCCACCAGAAGACAAGTAATATGGCATCAGGGAATGCCAGGGAGAATGGAACGGGGGAATCACAGTCACGTGATAGTAAAGATAGACAAAGCAGTGATGGTGGTAGTAGACATTCATTTGAAGGACAAGGAAACAGGCTTGGTCACGAGGGATTGGGAAGAGGTGGTCAAGGAGGGAGGGGCAGCTCACGTGGTGGAAGAGGAGGAAGAAAGGATGGATTCGGTAAGTTTTATTGGTTGTGCATTTGGTACTATATTAATGTATGTGGGAAGTAACAGAAAACTAAAAAATTGAAAATCTATTTTATAAATCTGTATAAACCATTCTGATCATCAATAAAGGCGGTATGTATATTGAAGTACATATTGACTTCGAAAGAACTAAAGCACCTGTTATTTAATGACTGTTCGACAGGAAGAGGAAGGTCAAACTCAATGGAGCAAGACGACTCAGATGATTATCGATCAAGGCAGCCATCTGATGCAGGAACTCTTTGGGACTTTGTTAAGTTGACCATTAAAAGTAAGTTTAAAAACCTTTATATAATGGATTTTCACGAGCCCATGCTCTGATTGGCTGAAAAGCTATGTCTTTTCAGAGTATAGAATCATAGATATGACATCAAAACCATTTCTTTTTCTATGCAATATAAAACATAGAAATGACGTCACAGCAATTTGTTTTCCCCCAAAAATTTTAAGTACTTTTTTTATTTGTTTTGAACACTACATCTTTCCTCTAAAAAAAAGGGGAAATGCACATTTGATATTTCATTTCGAGGAGTAAAGTTTCGTTTCCTTTTGCTGCAAATGTTACAATGACCTTATGATATGCTTACCCCCTGGGTCCCGGGCAGAAGCTCTCTCATTCCAGTGCTTCTTGGTGGGTGATGGGATCTGTTTCAGCATGAGAACCAACTTGTTGGTGTCCAGCAACTTACTCCTCCGCTGAGCACTGGAATGATAGTGAGGTTCTCTGTCACCCAGGTTAACATGCTTGTCTAAACAACAGAGATTGCCAGTAACTGTAAGATACCATTTTACTGCAAACGAAACAAACTGTTTTAGTGTACAAGACAAAAATGTGCATATTTAAGTGCTGTGTTGCTTTATTTTATTGGGTGAACAGGAGTTCTTGTTCCTCGTAATCAGTTCAGTGGATATTGTTACCATATCGTGACTGTATCAGTAGTTTACAAATACAAAGAAAGTACTGTTTCCTTTAAATCTAGTACTACAACTATGTATCCAGAGGTAACTATAGTACATATTTTTTTCAGCTCCTCCCAAATCTTCTACCCCGCCGCCAGCACCAAAGGAATCCAACAATAGTGATACCAAGCCAGATGAACCAAAGCAGCCATCTGCTAGTGACTCTACACAGGAAGCCCAGTTGGCTCAAGAGAATACACCTAATGAAAATGCTGAATCCCAACAAACAACAAAGTCCCAACAGCAGCAGAATGATCGATCTGAAAACACAAAGCAAGTAAAACCTGAGCCTCCTACCAGCCAATCAGGAAAAGAACAGAAACAGCTGACCAAAAGTAACGACAGAAGTAAAGATGGTGAAAAACATGGACGGAATACTGAACAATTGAGTACACAGTTCCGAGACAACAGACAGCGGCAATACCAACAAAGACAGCAGCAGTCAAGTGGGCAGGGCAGAGGGAGAGGTCCCAGGGGGAGGCATGAGGATGGTAGGTCATATAACCAAAGCCTTCCACCCAGATTACAAAAGAAGCAGCAGCAACAGTATCATCAGCAGTATCATCATGACAGAGACAGAAAATCTTCCATAGAAAGAGATTCACATCGGGAGAAAACTAGTTCGCCTGGTTCTGGATCCAGCGGCGATGGACGATCCAGTCAATCACCCAGCGTTGAATCAGGCCATTCGTCACAGAGTAAAAGTAGCGATGACATACACCAGAGACAACAGCAGCAACCACGAAGACAGAAGGGAAGTCAAAAACAACAACAACAGAGCGAGGACTACAATACAAGTGCAGAGCAAAAGCAGAGCACTGGGCCAAAGCAGGGACAATATGACTCACAGATGACACCAAGTGGTTACATATCAAGCCAGCCTAGTGTCCAACACACCCACTATCATGTAGACCAACAACAAATGTACGAACAGCAAGACTTCAACTACCAGCAGACACCGCCTCCCCCACCTCCACCCCCACAGCAGTATCCTGTCTACCAAATGCCAACTCAGATGGGTCCCCCTCAGGCTGTCATGGTTACTCAGCCCATCACACCTCCTTCACAGCCTCATTTACAGACACCTATCCCTTCCAATCAGGTAGGATAGCAGACCAAGTTTTTCTTGTTTTGATTGGATTTCAACTTTGAACAAAAGTATGTTTTTACTTCAGATGCGATGGAAAAAAGGCGAACAGTGTTTGGCATTACGTAGAGACAGGCAGGTAAGACATTATCTGGTTTTCTACCAAAATAACTTGACGCTCATGTCTTTAAGGTTTTGAGGCTTCCCACATAAACTTACAAACTCTGACCTATTTCCTTGTCCAGCTGCTCACAAAAAACACTAAAATAAACTGAAAAAATGTTTTAATTGATTTAACTTCCACCTAAAACCATTAGAACTTTGAACACAAATCCTGTCTGAAAAAAATATCTTTTAAAGGGACTGCCTTTCATTTCAGACCTGGAAGTTGTCTTTCCATTTTAGACCACATAAAATGATACTTAAGGGAATGACATGTGATCTGAATTGATTGACTGACTGAAGCCAAATACCTTACCTTGTAGTTGTCTAGTATGCATAATTCTGTGAAGGGGTGTCAAAAAAGTCATATAACGTGTTTGTTATTTTTTGACTCTAGTACTACAGTGCCAAGATTGAACACATCCATCCTGATGGTCAGCAGTGTATGGTATCCTTCCAAGATTTCCACGGTGGATGTGAAATGATACCAACCACATCCCTGCGACCGTTCCCCATTATCACCTGGGTAAGTGAACTGAAGCTTCTGATACATGCATTTCATAGGTACATGGTACTTCCCATACATGCATGTCATAGGCCCATGTTACTTCCCATACATGCATGTCATAGGTCCATGGTACTTCCCATACATGCATGTCATAGGCCCATGGTACTTCCCATACATGCATGTCATAGGCCCATGGTACTTCAGATACATGTGTGTCATAGGTCCATGGTACTTCCCATACATGCATGTCATAGATCCATGGTACTTCCCATACATGTGTGTCATAGGTCCATGGTACTTCCCATACATGTATGTCATAGGCCCATGGTACTTCCCATACATGTATGTCATAGGCCCATGATACTTCCCATACATGCCTTTCATAGGTCCATGGTACTTCCCATACATGTATGTCATAGGTCCATGGTACTTCCCATACATGCATGTCATAGGTCCATGGTACTTCCCTATACATGCATGTCATAGGCCCATGGTACTTCCCATACATGCATGTCATAGGTCCATGGTACTTCCCATACATGTATGTCATAGGTCCATGGTACTACCCATACATGCATGTCATAGGTCCATGGTACTTCCCTATTCATGCATGTCATAGGTCCATGGTACTTCCCATACATGTATGTCATAGGTCCATTGTACTTCCCTATACATGCATGTCATAGGTCCATGGTACTTCCCTATACATGCATGTCATAGGTCCATGGTACTACCCATACATGCATGTCATAGGTCCATGGTACTTCCCATACATGCATGTCATAGGTCCATGGTACTTCNCCCATACATGCATGTCATAGGTCCATGGTACTTCCCATACATGCATGTCATAGGTCCATGGTACTTCTCATACATGCATGTCATAGGCCTATGGTACTTCCCATATATGCATGTCGTAGGTCCATGGTACTTCCCATACATGCATGTCATAGACCAATTCCTGTAAATGCGATACAGTAGATGTTCTATGCATACTTTACTCTATTTTACGAATTGTAAAGCATCGAGATTTTGAGATGCGTGTATAATAATGTATATATTATTATTATTATTATTATTATTATCATTATTTACTCCCATTTAACTGCACAAATATTATTATTAATTGTAGGGTTATGTTTATTTTTCACCTAAACAGACAGATTCTAATGCCCAGTCCCTACCAGTTGCCACCACAATGACAGCTGTCCCAGTCTATGCTCAGCCAGCCCAAGTCGCAATGGTACCCAGACCTCAAGTCATGGTCCAAATGCAAGCCCAGCCCCCTTTCCCAATGGGACCAAAAGGGCACATACCCAATCAGGGACCTATGACTCCTCAAGGTCTTCCACAACCCCCACCAGGAATGCAATGGCAGCCTGCTCAGATGAACTACCAAGACTTAAGACAGCCTTACCCTCAAATCATCCATTATGATCCTATGGGTCAGGCTAATAATCCAGCTGCAAGACCCACTTACTATCCTGTGCCGCCCGGGGGAGCTATGCAGTTTGTTCGAGGTGTTAAAGAACTCCACGGCCAAGGTACATAAAGGATTTTCGTTTGTGTTGATATCGCTAACCAACACATACAGATGTATGTGTGTATGAAATATATATTTGTACTGACGGTTGTAATGTATCAAATTGAGCTGATCCTCGCAGTATATCAAGCAACTTATTGCAAGACTCAGAAAAAAACCCAAGTCTTGAACGGGATTTGAACCCATGCCCTGGCGATTCTGGGGCCATGCTCTAACCACTAAATTACCAAGTCTCATATGAGACTTCAAGGACATATTAGGTGGCTTTATCGACCCGATAAGAGATATATGTGTGTGTATGAGAATATATATGAAATATATATTTGTACTATCAGTACTTATGTCTGAATTTTCACGGGTTATGACTGTCTTCATGGGTTAGTGAATCTATTGATGTTGTTGTTATTGTTTAATACCAATATATTTTCTCTCCAGAATTATACCCACACACTGGCAACATGGTCGAGGTTACTGCAGACGGCAACAAAGCCCAACCGATAACCACTGTCTACTACAATGTCAAATCCAAGAAAACAAACACAAGGCCAACACAATCCTACTACATGCCACCAAGACAACAGACGTATGGAGATCCTTCTAACTAGACCAGTATCTTCTAACTGGTAGGAGACGGATTATCTATGGCAAGCCCTGGAAGTAAGCGTATATATATATATATATATGTATTACGACAGTCTAACTGAAGTATGGCAGGGTCTTTTGATCTCTAATGGGAGATGGAAGAAGCCATTCCTGTACGACTGTGAACGCGCTTTCTACTTCTACGGGGACTAACGGAGGATTTTATTTCCTTCGGGGAAAGATGGCTTTCCAATAAATCGTACGGCTTTTTCTTTTTTTTTTTTTTTTTTTTTTTTTTTTTGCCCGGGGAAATAAACTCTTCCATTTAACGTATGAGGATTACCTGTCTCCCCTAGAGAGATATGCTATTGAAAGCACTGGGGTAGGGTGACAGGGCTCTACCTTGCGGGAAAAGGTGCTCTCCATATAAAGTGCCGTACTTTGAACACGTTACCTCTCCTGGGAAGGCATTCTTCCATCATGGAATCTGTGCCATCTTCTTGAAAGTCTTTTCAGTTTCTTGTCATCCTGTTTGTGACAGCACATACATGGTTACCTAGAAACTGTTACAGGGCAACCAAAAGTTGGTCGGCTGCAACCTTTAATGAATTAATTTTAATTTTTTTCATTTATAAATTGTAAGATATTTGAATGGAACCTATATTAGCTCGATAGATACTTAAATTAATTAATAATTCAAAAAAATACCATAACGATTCATCAATTTCACTTTTCTTATATTGTATACTATATTACACTAGAATATAGATATAAGCTAGAGATAGATATCGCGCCGATTCTCTCGGAATCGGAATTCGCAAAAGTTGCCAAACGGCGTTCGTTTGTTTCTCGTTCTGTTGTTCATTTTCATCGTTGATATTGCTATTGTTGTTGTTATTATTGTTTGTATGCTGTGTTGATCTACTGATGGTGTTGTACAGTGTAGTGTTGAATGAAGATGCTATTCTGTTAATGATGGATATTCTTTTGTCGTTTTTCTATAATTTCTTTTTTTTTTTTTTCTTTCTTCTAATAGTATACCACATTCTTGTCTTCAGTATGGATGGTTGCGATAAACCTCCTAATATCCAGTCAAAAATAGTGGTGATGCAGAAAAAAAATATTTGCAGCGTATTTATTGATTTTTTCAGATGTTAACCACTTTCTAATACTCGTAAGGTTTCACATTTCACGGTTTCGAATACGTTCATTTGATCACGTGATCCTGGTTTAGTTATTTATACTGTTACTGCGTGACGTCGTCGTGTAGTTTATTTATTTGTTGTTTTGCGGGTGTTTTGAGGTATCATGTCCTCACGGGTCTTGTTTGTCATAGAAAATAATAATTTCGGGCTCATCAAATTCTGTATAAGACTCAAAACCGTGAAATTGGTCAGGCGAGATACGTTTTTTATTTGGGGAATGGCTGGGGAGGGGAGGTACATCAGAAAACATTTAAAACAATTTTGGTGGCTCAAGCCTTTTTATTATGAGGGTCATTAATTTCGCACCGAGTGAAAGGAGGAGGGCTACAACCATTAAAAAGTTTACTTGAACTCCTCAGCCCTCCCCCTATGAAAAAAACGTAACTCTCCTTAGGTTGTTTGGCGCCTAAAAGCACATCAGTTTTAAGTTTCGTAGCTTTTTTGCTTGTTTCTTGGAGGGATTCAAAATAAGGATAAAAGAACTGGTATCCGATGATTGCCACAACCTCTGGTATGCATGGGCATGTACATAGAAGATACAAAACTCCATTTTGCAATTCAGACGAAACGTCTGCTATCAGTAGGAGCCCTGGACCCTTGAACTTTCGGCAACTCAACTGCCTACGTTTTTTCTTGGCGTAATTTTTTTTTTTTTTTTTTTTTTTTTGATTATGAGCAACAAATCATTCTTTTCACTTTATTTGTATATACATGTATTATTTGATCGTAGTTATTCTTTTTTTCTTCAATAATATTTCCCTAAAATTTTAATTTATATTATTTTTTCTATTTTTAGACTGCATAATATATATATATATTTGATTATAACCAGTTGCGTTTCATATTTCTGCGAGCCAAACAACTCACAACGCTTCGCGTTGTCACTTGTTTTGCTGCGACTTCTGTCCATCACACTTTTTACCACTGTCTGAGCTAGGAAATGCTTGTTTGACGGAAGCCTTCAAATCGTCACCTAGTCTCCTACGCAGCCGCTATTAGTGTCGTCGCGCAACACCTATTCCCCAAGAGTTGCGTGGCGACACTAATAGCCGCTGCGTAGAAGACTAGTTATCTCCAAGGTCGTAGAAACACGAAATGTATACTCAAACCACCAAAACACGTGACTGTCGGAATAAAACATACCGCTGACATCAAGATTGTGGTCTCATTTCTTGTAAGAATGTCGCAGATGTAGTACATAAACTTCGTTTTATTTCTTTACATCGTTTATCTGAGCCCATAATTCTTTGCGTAATACCATGATCCTTTGCGGGATCCAAACTCGCAGTATATTACAAAGATCTTCAACAATCACGTACAAAAATCTAAACTTTCGCCAAATTTTTTTCATTGCGGAATTCCGAATTGTTGCTGTTATTAGTTAGATGTTAGTTAGAGTAGTCCACAATAGTATTCATCTGCCTTCAAGACACTGGTTGATCTTGATAAAGATGGATAAATATATAGAAAGTATATTCAATATTTACTAAATAATAAATCATATACGTCTGTTTTTCTTAGGCAATAATATACTTTACGTTAGTCCAGTTCAAACTAACGTTAGAATGGTTATATTTTGGTTGGAATATAAATGGTTATTATATACGTCTGTACTGGGATCTGAACTTAGATTAAAGCTTTCATTAATATGATTGCAAATCTTCATTAAAATCTTGATAGTTTTCCGTCATCTTTGGTCTCTTCCGCTCGGGCTCTGTCGTTCTGAGTCGTTATTACTCGGAGTTCACTCGGATGACTCATGTTGTGTTACCGCCAGTATTCGTGCTGTTGTCGTAATTACTCAACCTTGTCGGTCTTAGCCTTCACTGTCACTAGTCAAGTTCATGACGGGTTTGCACTGCTATCAATGTTTAGCTTATCAAGTTTAGGTCCCGGTTTAGATTTCTTGATATACACCTATTTCAAAAAAAAAGTCGGTCAGACATCAGTTGAATCTGAAATCTGAGACCGAGTTACACGCTATATTGTAATACATTCACAGCCCAACTACGTAGTTCCCTTTTAGATTCGAATATGAAGCATGACCTTTGAAATTTTTGTATTTTAGCCAGCAAACATAAAAGCTCAAAAATTCCAAAAATTTATTGTCAGATCGAACGTTTCCGATCTCGGACAGACAACATTTTTTGAAATAGGTGTGTATATATATATATATATATAGGTGGTTATTGGTATTTATACACTGAGAAAGAACAGCACATTTATTTTTAAAAAAATTCCAAAAATTTATTGTCAGATCGAACGTTTCCGATCTCGGACAGACAACATTTTTTGAAATAGGTGTATATATATATATATATATATAGGTGGTTATTGGTATTTATACACTGAGAAAGAACAGCACATTTATTTTTAAAAAAAATCATTTTACCGACCATGGTTAGTGTATGTAGATCTAGTCTGGGCGTAACATGTAGTTTCAGACCACGTGCCATACCCCTTGAATATTATATCTTTATATGTTGCTACAAAATATCGGTGTTACTGTTATTAAGGGAATGACACGTAGTCTGAAATAATGAAGCTTTTCAAGGTGCAGTTTCAATATTCTTGGCTCATTTACATGTTGTGTATATATATTAGGACTGTTTTATGCCGTTTTTCGTTCAAATTGTTTTATCGCTGTTTTATGTTAAACAAAAAATTTCAAATATATTAAAAAGTCGCCATACTTTGATAATGACTTGTCGTCGATCTTTATTACTGGGATACCTGTGGTAGACAAGTATGTAATAGCGCAGCGCACTGATTCTAAAATAGCTTAAAGATTCGGACAAACATTGCATTCTTCACAAAACAATATTAGTCGAGGCTCCGGCTCTTCGTATTTCAAACTCACTTTGGTTTTTCTTCTTCATTTCTGTCGACTTGGACGAAAATCGTCCGAAATTTAATTCGGCTGAAACTTTACTGAAATAATTTTCAAGGTTCTAATAGACAATGTCGTTGTTAAAGTTTTTTCTGGATATTCCGATGAGAAGTTTTTTTTTTCTTTTGCGAATCTTTAAAGAGTCGTCAATGACTTCATCTACTCAACAACTCTAGTGGTTTTGCTTTTATTTTGATGCCCCTTACTTGTTTTTTCGGTGATGTGACTGGGAGGTTGTACCAACCCCACCCTAGTGATAGGGGTAAGATGCAGCTGTCGTTTCAACTCTTGTCGAAACTTTTCATTCCTAAACGCAAAGAGTATGGGATTCAAGCAAGCGTTGGTTGCAAACGAATAATACATAAATGTCTTCCAAAAGATTCCTTTTTCCATCATGGTAAAAATGTCTCCCAGAGCGGTATAGTTCACAAGTGTTAGGAAAAGTAACGGAAGTAAGAAGAAAGCCATGTTGCTGAAGACTATCAAAGCAATTTTTCTAGCTACTCGTCCTTCTCTTTGGATTCCTACTACTTGACTGGACGAGCGAACTGATATGTACATGTGAGTGTACATTGGCAAAGTCAAGAAGTACGCGATCATCACCAGGCCACCTGGGATGGTCATGTACTCTATGGCACCACTTGTAGGCTCCGATACAGGGGTGCAGTGTGAATCAGGCACATAGACGCTACTGAGGACGGTGAAGGGCAAGATTGAAAACACAAAAGATATGAAAACAACAATGGCAAGGCAACACTTGGCCACGTGTGGAAAGATGCGAATGTTTGGGTCCATACAATATACGACTGCAAGATATCTCTCGACGGAGACAACGAAGGAAGAAAAAGCGCTGATTCCTTGAGACATGACGTTCACAAACCCAACAAAGTAACAGAAAGGTGTACGGAGAAGGTCCATCATCTCTCTGTACGTAACACTCGCCCTGGTGGTTGTTATGAGGAGAAGATAGAATGACATGAACATGTCACCCATGGCAACGTTGGATACCAAAAACTGAGCAACGTTGTCACGAAGGACCTTACTACGCACCGTTGCTATGACTACGGTCAAGTTCAGTGTGATAGCAACGGTTGCTAAGACGAACAGAAATCCAGAACTTTGGTTCATTTGGTCCCAGCATCTGTTCAAAGGCTCTACGTTGTAATTGTGAAAGAAAGAAAGCTTGCTGTAGCCGTTAAAACACCTGAAGTCAACGCTCTGGCAGCTTATATCGTAACCAAGACGTTGAAAATTGAGATAATACTGATCTTTGAAATAAAGGATGTTTCCATAGCAACCTGAATACTTTTGAAGCGGTGGCTTCATTGGTTCTGCATTCATCCAAGGTCCAGCTGCAAGAGAAATGTTCAACGTGTTGGAATTCTTCTTCAAGAAGCAGCGCAGGCACTGCCCATCCAGCGGAGTACCTCTAATCACTTGGAGCATGCCCAGTGTCTCCTTCACGTGACTGCTGTTAAGCCAATTGGGAATACCGCTGACATCTAAGACCGTTAGGCGAGGGAACATGTTGGTGAAGTTGAGTAAAGAAAGGTCAAGATCAGTATTCCCACTAAGATTCCTAAAACAGACGAACAGAAGTAAGAAAAGGAAAGGAAATCTTAGGTAAGAATAACACCATTTAAGGTAAGCTATAATTACTGAGGTAACAAACTAATCCAGAATGCATTTTCTTTAATTCCGTCATTTGTAAGAATACCCACAACAACTTACAAAGAGTTTAAATTCGCCTTCGATATGTTTTTCAAATGTCATATGCAAAAAAGTTCACGTATTTCACGCCAATGCCATTCAAACTGGGCAACGGTTGAAAGGAGTAGAGTAGAGGAGAGGAGAGAGTAAGTTGAATAAGAAACCATATACATACTTACATGACAAGCAAGTTGTCAAACAAACTGAGCTGCTCTGCTGGTAGGCTCGTGAGGCTGTTATCAGACAAGTCTCTAAAAATAGAAACCATTGAAATATTCGTCACTGAGTGTACATTGCCCTTTGTTTTAATATTGTGCTACTTGTACACCATTCCTTCTTGTTAGAGTGCATACCCATATATCCATGAAAAACTTTGAAGTTGCACAAATCAATAAGTATAGGATTTTTTGTTTATAGTTCACTCAACAAAATTTCAGTAAAAAATGCGAAGCGACGCCGTTCATCTTTGTCTATTTGGCGGCCGATTTTCAGTCGCGCAACTGAAATGCATAAAAAAGATTAGTTCTTACGGCTTTAAAATTTTATTTATATGTTTTTTAAGTACAAAATTATAGAAAATAATTCTTTTGACATTGTTTTGGCCGTGTTAGCTTATTTTAATTAAGTTTGGATCTTATTTGAATCTAGTTTTTGATTAAATAGTTAGAAATAGTCAATCTATTAATGATTTTAAAAAGCAACTCAAGACATATCTTTTTAGGTTAGCTTATTTTAATTATAGATCTTTTTAGAATTTAGTTTTTTGATTAAATAGTTGTCTATTAGTTTTTTGATCGTACTTGTAAACAGCGCTTTGAGCACAAGGAAAGGCGCTTTATAAATAATAAAGTTATTATTATTATTATTGTTGCCATAGCGACTTAATTCGGTACTCCTACGGTACTCCTACAATTATAGCGTTAATTGTACTCCTCTCGACCAATCAGAGTCGAGTAATTTTGTTGAGTGTACTATAAGTTGAGTAATTGAACCTCAGTAGACCGTACACCTGCAAAACTTTGCACTATTTTGTACAATTTTGTTAGTTAACTTTTTCACTGATATATGGTATGCACTCCAAGGAATTCGAAGCCAGCATTTGTCGAAGTTGATAACTTTTTCACACCCATTTTCATTAGCCATTCCGAGGTTGAGGGTAAAACTGGGTCGACAGAGCTGGCATTGCAGTGCATTGTGGGTCTATTTAAGGGGACATATTTCCAAGATGGCGGCTATCTCGTTCACTAAAACAGCCTGAATATGTACTGCATTGCCAACTCGTTGATGATAATGATTTATATATACCGCCCGTCCTATATGGCTATAAATGAAAGGCGCTTCATATTGAGTTGTGAATTTCAGATTCGGCTTTTTATTCAATTTCAGTTACAATCATGAGAGGTGATAAGTTTGAAGTGTAGGCACTGCGGGGGGTCACTTCCAGGGTTTTTTTCTACGTCCTCAGTGGTTCTTTTACGTCCCTCCGATAATGATAAGATAGTAATGATTAGTAATGATAAGATGTGAAGTCCCCGAGGCCACTTGAAACTGAATTGAGCCATTTATAGATGTAATTACACAAGGCAGCACTTATCTCCTCGGTTATTTTAAGACCCAGAGTGCAAAACAACATAATACTCGGGTAAAATGATAGATACAGGAATCAACGTTGGATTCCACAAAGTGGCTCTTCTTCCCGCTGGATTCCAACTGGAATTTATAAGTTGATTCTTAAAAACCACGAAATCCCACACAAAAGTCATTTGCTCAACCAACTGAGTCAACCGGCTTGCGGTAACTCTGCCCAGTTTTTCCCTAACTCGGAATGGCTAGAAATTCCAAGAATTAGACAATACAGTTTTGCTGGTTTCCTTTTTTGATTGACAGCCAAGCGAAAAGAACGAAAAAAAGAAAGACTTTAAAAGTAATTATATAAATGGGCGTAATTCAAAAACAGTATTGTATTTCTTTCTCCTTAACTCACAGCCTTAATTGAATTTCATGCTTTGTTCTAATTATTTAAAAACAAGCACTAGTAGGCCTACTTAAAGATTGAGCACGAAAGAAAGAAAAATATTATTTTTTCCATCTTATGAAAGTTATATACAAAAACACTCGATGTTTCAAAATCGAGTTTAAAAAATATATGCCGCAGACATTTAAAAATGGGAAATAAAAAAACGAATTATACACGACAGTAGAAAATACGATTTTATCGATAAAGCTATATCCAGCGAGGCTTACACCTGCGAAATAAGCACTTCCTATTTC